TATAAATTTTTGAATTATTAATTATAAATCTGTTACAAAAAGTAAAAAAAGTAAAATATATCGAAAAAACGAAAGGACAGAAAATTAGATTGCATTTAAATTGTTTAGTATTATCGTATAGAATTGAGTCTTGGTGCTTAAATTTTTGAATTATTAATTATAAATCTGTTACGAATAAAAAAAAAAGTAAAATATATCGAAAAAACGAAAGGACAGAAAATTAGATTGCATTTAAATTGTTTAGTATTATCGTATAGAATTGATGAACGCGAGTCTTGGTGCATTCGCTTCTCGAGGAAATAATTAACGGCATTCTTCGCGGTTTGGCGTCGCATTTTAATGACGGCAATTATCGATATGCGAGAACTTGTTTCTCGGAACGTCGTACAGCATAATTGTATATCGCTGGATGAATCTTGGATAAAATGCTGCGCACGATTAGACTAGCATAGGTCGAAATATTCTAAATTCGCGCAAGAATATCTCATTTTTTTCATCAATAAAATCCTTCGTTCTCTAAATACTCCATTCTAAATTGTTGCGAAATAATAATTATATGACTATCGCTTTGAGTCATCTATCTATACCTAAGAGATGGAAGGATTGCATCTCGCACCTCTGGATGTCAATGTCATTTTTGCGTCACGAGAGTGAGCGATGATGAGGATGCTGAACTGTCAATCCGAAACGTGTACGCGTGCGTGTACGCGTTCGTTCGCGATCGGCAGGATCGCTTTGCCGTACCTGCCGATGCGCTCACCATTGGCTTGGCAGAAACGATCGAGAAGTAGGTCAACCGCTCGAATGTCTTGTTGTCCGCCGCGTTGCGTCTCAACGGAGAGCCGCTTTCTCTTCTCTCGCGTACTACGATTCTTCCGTTGGAATTCTAACGTTACGCGCCTCGCTTCTTTCTCTCTTTCTCTCTTCCCTCTTTCCACGCTCTTTTCGCGCTCGTCCCCGCGCCAGCTTTTTATTTTTAATCGTCCGCGTGATCCTGATGGTAATTGAACAAACTTTGATACGCTTTGGACGTGAAACGCACACAGCTTTGATTAATTCAAGTAGAGCATTAATGATTATGCTGTTTAAGGTGCACGGAGCACCAAAGTCACGGCTAATTAGACTAATTATAATGCCGCAACAACGCCGTTTATGTTCAAGTGCGGGAGCATGTTGCACGCGCAGTTGGAGATTTGGAAGGCCGCTGTCGAGGAGTCACCGCGGAACACTCTGGCTGTTTCCTGGACTCCCGCGGGGGTGGTCCAGTCCCCGAGCAGTACCGTGACATCACCGACTATCGGAAATACAACGACAACGACGGGCAGCCTCAAGGAATCCCCCGGCTCCGTAGACTTCTCAGATGGTACGTTTTTTCCTTCTCTTTTGGCTCGATTCTTACATCATTCGACAGATATTCATCGAACGGTAAACAACGAAAAAAGACGACTCGCCTCATTTTTTCGCATTTCTCGCACGTATCGAACGTGTCTTGATGGTTTTGATGCCAAATACGATATGAAAAAAAAAAAAAGTAATTTTCGTCCTTCATCCCTCGCGTTTGTGTATTCTTTGTGTGCAGACGAGGACGAGGATTGCGCTTCCGGTCAGGGCGCGGGCGGAAGCGGCACGAGTGGCGGCGGCAAGATGCGAAACGGTGGCAGCCACATTCACTTGTGGCAGTTCCTGAAGGAACTGCTGCAGAGCCCGGGCGTCCACGGTTCCTGCATACGTTGGCTGGATCGCGGCAAGGGGGTCTTCAAGATCGAGGACTCGGTGCGGGTGGCGCGGCTCTGGGGCAAGCGCAAGAACCGGCCCGCCATGAACTACGACAAGCTCAGCCGCAGTATCCGGCAGTACTACAAGAAGGGCATCATGAAGAAGACGGAGCGTAGCCAGAGACTGGTGTACCAGTTTTGCCATCCCTACTGTCTGTGAGGAGTTTTCTTCCGGCTCTTCCTTCTCCTCCCTAAGAGCCCCCTTTGACGCCCCCCCCCTTCTTCGCGCGCGCGCAAACCTGCGATTCTTCGGAGCGAATGACTTCAGGACGAGCCCCGCACGAGGAGATCGAAAGGTAAAAAACTTTGAGACGACGATCTGCCGTGTTCGATGTTATCCCGCGACGATAACGCCGTGGCCACGGCCGGGTCCGCTTAGTACGCCCGTTTTGGGCGACCACTTTCGCCTTACGTTTATTCCTCTCCCTTCTTCTTCTTCTTCTCTTTTCTTTCTTTCTTTCTTTCTTTCTGTTTCTTGCGTTGTGTTTTCGAGTTTTTTTTCTCTTCTTTCAATAATGATATGTATATGCATGCGATTTCTCTTTTTCTCTCTCTCTTTCTCTCTACCGAATCGCTCCTGCGCTTCGACGAAGTCTTCTCATCGCGAAGCGACGATGCGAGTGGGTAGAGATTCGCCAGAGAAAAGGGTAGAAATGACTCTTTTCTCTTTATTCTCACGATCGCTTGTCGGCACCAGTTGTCGGGTGTCCTCGAGCTGTCCGAGCAATACGCACGATATATATATATATATATATATATATATATATTCGACGAGATACTCTGAGCGTGCGGAACTATTCGCTGCTGCTCGTGGTATCTATTCTCTCGACGGAAGCAACGAAACAGAAATGGAACATTCTATTTTTTATACCAAACATTTTTTCCAATCGCTATAATCACCGTCCTTCCGTGCTCACGTCGCGAAAGAGATGTAAGTACAAATAGAGGTCTATCGAAAACGTGTCAAAACGTCGTTGAAATGTGACTGTTAGCCGCCTGATAACGTCGTTTTAATCAACATTTTTGCAATTTTATAATCTCTGGCACGCGTAAAGTTCGGGAAAATATTTTTATCTCTTGAGGAGGTGTTTATTAAGTCGTCGAGAGCGTGCCTTAGATATGTGCCGTGGGCATCGCGACGTAGGACGGAAAATCTCGCTCGATCAAGAGGCGCCCGTAGATCATCGATCGAGAGCTTGCCGTTTGAGAGAATAATTAATCGACGATCGTGTTGCGCTCGAGGCGTCCTAGACGCAACGACTGGTGCTGGTGATTTTGGTCCCATATATCTATGATATATTAAATGCTGTATGTTCCATGAACGATTAGGCTTTAAGATGACTTAGCTACGTAAGTGTATTGGGGGCTCACGTGAGCCTCCCTTAGGTTACTCGAAGAGATTTTTTAATTTTTTTTCTTTCCTATTTTTCTCTCTCGTTTGCGTGTCATTACGACATCGAAATCGCGTCCATCTCTTGTGCTTATAGTTTGTACGAACCTTTCTCGCGCATTGTATTTTATACAGCTTTCCTTGACGCTCATTATTCTCGTTTAGCGCAAGTTTGTCACTCTCGAGATGAAAAAATCTTATTACATGTTTCTCCATTTCTATCGCACATATTGTCTGAATAATATCCGTTCGCGTAATTCATATAATTCATATTTGTTTTTCTGTTACTTTCCTTAAGAAAGCATTATCTTTGTATATTTGAACAAATCCGAAAGAAAATATTTTAGCAAGCTCGTTATTATTATTGCGATTTCGAATACGTTATTTTAATGGATACAAGATACAATTAACACGATTAATTTCACGCATTTTTCAACGTAGTTAAGTATAGCATTCATACTAACGTGTTCACATTCGCTCACCGATCGGTTGTACATATGGATGTTTGCGGCATAATCATTTTATTCGTTTTATCTATTTATATTATTTTATCCGATATATTTATATATTTTAAGATATAAAACAATCTTACTAGAAAGTGCGCTCTTTAGCGCTTTGACATGCCGTTGATGTCAATTCTGTGACTGATATCAATTTCATCTTGTCAGTTTTCTTGTGTAGATCGTGAATTTAATATCACGGGAATTATTACGCGGCCTTTCCTCGACCGTGCAAAGATGCAATTGATGAACAGTGCAATTACATCTGTGCATTCATTACCGTCGGACTTGAATCATTCTGAGTCCACTATGATGTCATTATTCAGAATTGTGACGAGTAGAAGAAAAATAGGCTCCTTAAAAAGAATGAAATTTAAATGATTTATACTTTTTTTATAAAATATCGGTATTGCCAAGTTTCATCCCATCATTGCAGTTAATTATTGTTTATTTTTTTGATGCTCTTAATGGCAAGGCTGCTAATTTTTTTCGCGATAATGTCGCGAATTGACATTCATCGCGTAACGAGCGATGATTCTTTACTGATGGCGTTTGGACTGCTGAAAGATTCGAGTCAACTGTTTCGAATACAGAAACTGATGCCAAAGAACATATGGCGAATGTCAGGTAGTTCTATCGAGGAAATGGATTTGCTCGCGTAATTAGATCGTAAAGCGCGCTTCCACGGCTGTTAGATTTCTACGACACGTTATTTTTTTTATGCGGCCTAGTATGGAACGCTCGTCAAATTGGAAGTAGACCGAGGCGGGACCTCGAAACTCGACTGTAATAAACTGTGTGTGAAATTGAAAAAAATATTTTAAATGTTAATTGATGTTTATGAATTACCTCATATTTCTTTCAATTTTTCGAAAGTCGCGAGAAAATGTAACAGTCTGACGTTAATATTTCGTTTACTTCGACGAGAATCTTTATACAAATTCTTTCTATTACTTTATATAAAACTATTAACATAAACAATATAAGAAAAAATATTTTATTCTCTTAATGAAACAACACGAATCCTAAAGTCGCTAAAAATTTACATTTATATATCGAGAGTCATCAGTCCGTTTCGTACCAGGCTCTACCGCATATATATTTTATATTTTATAAGTTTAACGGTAGTTGATTCTTCAATTCTGCGATAAAACCCGAAGGCGGGGAAGATTTATCCCCCGAAGATTAATCCCGTTGTAGCTACAATAATAGAAACAGGAATGAAATTGAAGAGCGCGGTTACTTTTGCACAGTTAGGTAAAGAAGCGGAAAATAATAAAATCGGGTGAAATAACAACGCAAATAATACCGAATAGATCCCAATTGCGCACAATATGGTATCGCAAAGCGCGGCTCTTGTGTATATTTGTGTAATCAACTATTATTTATTAAATTAATAACTCTTAAGGTAAAGTCGTATAAAATAAGAAAATTGATAAGAAGAACCAATTTTTTTTGGTTAATATATATGGAAACGAAAATTGTCTGTCCATTATAAAGGGCAATAAGGCGAATATTATTTTTGTAAACAATGTTTGTTAAAAGGCATATTTTTTTATATAAAATTCAAAAGATTTTTTAGTAAGATCGTCAAATATTAATATTGAGACATGAACGATTCAAAAAGAAAAAAATTTATTGAATTAAATCAGAAAATTGCAATTATAGCCAAGAAAGTTTTATTTTTCAATTAATTACACAAGTAGATTTTATTTTAGCAGAATCTTAGCTTGAAGTTTCATTATATTACAAACAAGATAATATTTTTGTTAGACAGAAAAAATCATTCTTCTCATTATTTACTTCCATTACCAAATATCTTATAGGAAGGGATAAGTATGTATAAAAAGAACTGTTATTATTACTGATATTGGAATTTATTAGAAATTACCAGTGCAATTAATTTATCTTGCTTGAGAAAAAGATCGGAATGTGGCAAATTGAGAGAAAATTGTGCTTCCATTATCCTAGTGATCTTCGGCAATCAGAATATAATTATAGATTGTTTGTTTAACTAGTAGATGATTATCGATGTGCGCGCATTAAAATGTACATATTCGCGGCTCTAACGAGTAATATTATATATACATATATATACATATATGTTTGTATAATAATCGTAGGTTAAGCGTTACTGGTTTTATATGAGCAGAGATTTAATTAGCATTAAGCGTTGATTTCCTTAACTGCGATCTTACTACAAATAAAGACATTGTTGTATACATATGCATATATTATATATATATTTATATACTCATGTTTTGACTGTTGTAATGAGATTAAGTTGAGTACGGCGTATCGCATGAGATAATAATTGTAGATCAAAGCTCTTCTCAAAACACGTCGGTGTATTGAGATCGTGAGGACAATCTTCTCGAAAATCTTCGCTGAAGATATATATAGATTTAACACGTCGATTATAGAATGCGTGGGCTGAGATGAGCTTTGATGAGAGCAATAATATAATAATAATGATAATGTTAATATTAATATATACGCACACATATATAAATATATATATATTTTCTTACGCCGATATTTTTCATGCTGCCGACATTCGGAGCGAGTTACTAACACGCGAAACAAACAGAAATAAAAAGGAATAAAAATTTCGTACATTTTGCGTGTTTGTTATTTTATTCCCTTTCGTTCAATCTCCTCTCTCTTGGAATTTGCGCTGTATCATCCGGAATCCCCCGGAAACTTTCGTTACGCCAACGCTGAAGTAACGGAACGCATTTTTTGAACATGTCACGAATCGCGCTTAGAAGAAGCGAAAGCGACGAAGTGAAAGTCTTTTGGTTGAATTTCTAATTGTCGCCGATGGCGATTAGATCTGTACCGATCATTATCTCCAAATTTCGCATAGCCATTATTCTTCAGCAAAAGAAAAATTATTCTAATTGAAATACTATATTTACGCTAAGAAGTTGATAAAAAATATTTCTTGTTTTCCACATATACCTAAATATATATAATACTTTAAGATATATCTTAAAATATTATACTCGTAGAAAAGAATGGTTTCTCGATACTTTTGAACGAGATTGATAACGGAATAACTTAGCATCGCGAAGAATTTAACAGGTGAAAATACGGACTAAGATATTAATTTCTTTGGTACATGATATCTTTTTATCCGCGAGCGACTCGCGCGTATGAGACTTTATCGATTACTCGCCGATAGCCACGATGAGGGAGTATTTGCTCTCGAGAGTTCCCCTCGGGGGCAATCCAACCGGGGAACTATGGGCATTCTAATTTCAGAATCGACGTCTTGCGGCGCGAAAGGAAGAAAAGAACCTCGGCGAAGAGGGAAGGCGAGAATCTCGCCGCCATAAAGATTCGTATCGCTCTGGAAACGTCGAGGAAGAGCACGAGGAGGCGGTCTTTCTCTCTCTCTCTCTCTCTCTCTTTTTCTCTCATCGCAACCCTCGGCGCGAATGGGCGTCCCTTTTCGAGATTTACGACAATTTAATCGCGCAATTAATCTAACACCTTGTTGCAACAACACCTCGCGTCGAGCGGCGGCGGGGAAATAAAAATTGCGAGGAGGGAGGAGTGAGCCCAGCTTCGATCTATCGCGGCGGATATCGCTCGGGTCGGTGCGAGGTTTAACCACGGTGTTAAAGGGGATTAACGCGGCGGTAGGGGCTAGGGGCGCAAAGGGCGAGAGAAGCGATAGCCGCGGTCTTATAGCAGCAACCATAAGCGCGGTCGCGGAGAGTTGCGTCTCGTTATAGACGCGATAAATGAGTCTCCGCGATTTTTATTGGACCTTCATTGTTTCGCGATCGCTGGCGAAGAATCCAAGACCGAACGGCATAATTCAAGAGAGAACGCGGGTCTCTTTCGTTTAGATGCGAAAACCTCCGACCAATATCGGCGTCACGATTCCTCCTTTCGTATACGAACGGTATCCTTATCAACGTGCACGATATAACGGCGTATGATTATAAAGATGTATGCGCTGTCAGTAGAGAAAACGCGAATCAAATGAAGATGTTAGTACAAACATGAAGAAAAATTCAATGCATTTAAAATAAAACTTCATTTTATTGCGTTTGTTATAACTAAAATTATATTTTTATGAAAGCTTTATTACAATAAATATATTTGTTTGTATAAATATATTAATTGTATGAAGTAAGTTTTTAAAGAGAAAATTTATGGGGGGGAGGGGGTACCCACAATCTCTCTGACATTAGATCGCACAAAACAATCTTATTTCCAGAAGATTGTGAATTTATATAATTCATACATAATAAAACAAATTATCTGAAAATATTCATCATTTATAAGTTATATAATGCAATTTTTTTTTTTACGTAAGTTTAAATGTAACTCGGCACAATCATCGAGAGAGAGAGAGGGAGGCGTATAAATTTTCCTTAAGATCCTCTCGGCTGTTGTTCTCCGCGACGAGGACACCCCCGCAAACGAGCGCGCGGACGCGTGCGCGTTCACGCTCGCTCTGTCTGTACGACCAAGGACAACAACATTCTCCGCAAAACTAATTGCCAGGTAAATATATACGAACAACGAGCGCCAGTGTGCGCGCGTTTACGGACGACACGGCAGGGACCCCGCGAGGGCCCCCGTTGTCTATACGTTGGAATTTATTGCGCTTGCCTGGCGCAGCGATAGCGGTGCGGGAAAGAAGAGGGGGTCCACACACAGGAGGGGGAGGAGAGAAGGAGCAAGCTCTCGTACGAGAGCGCGTAATTTATGCTCTCATTATGCAACAACCAAGATTCATTACGAGCGACACACGTTGTCTCGCTTCGGAGATCGATCTGCGAAGGACGATCTTGATGAGCGTTATGGTATTAAGGCAACTAAAAAGGGAGAGAGAGAGAGAGAGAGAGAGAGAGAGAGAGTAAGAGAGATTAGGCCTTCTTGGTGCACTTTGGGGATCAAATAACGAGATACTCTGCGCGCGAGATTGCGTATTGATTCGTTGCAATTTTTATTTTAGAAACAAGTCCCGATTTATATCTCGCGTCTGTTCTTCAAGAGGTAAGTCGAGAACGTTTGCAAGTCGAGTCTCTTTTCTCTCCCATGATGTACGATTATTTGATGCGCTTGGTGAACTTTGTAATGTAAGATGTTCATAAATGAGGAGAATAGTAATTTAAGAGTCGATGCGATGCATTCATAAATACAGATTCTCTTATTTTCTTAAATGCGCATAGGTATTCTACTGTTTATACTAAACAGTAATTTATGATGTAAGAGATTTTTTTACGGACGGAGATACATGCCAGATGATGAGGAAAGATGAGATCTACCAAATCGAGCGATCGCGTGCAAAAATCAAAAAGCCGATAATAAATTTCTTTCCGCGTCTCTTAAATCATACAAAGGGAACTCTCTATGTTTCTTTTTTATTTATTGCAATTTAAAAAAAAATGTGTTTTTTTTTATTTTAAAGCCCTCGAGCCTCTTGACCCGCTCCATCGCAACGCACAGGTCGGGAACAAAGGGGGACAGGCTGGCAAAGGGGGCTCGCAAAGGGGATAAAGACACTCCGCCCAGACGCGTCGCGTCTCGGCTCGCGCTTTCCGTTGCATCGCGGAAACTATCGGTCACCGTAGCGGGCCTATAATCTCGGGGGCCCGTAACCGCTCCTCGCGGCCGGCGACAAAAAATCGGCAGAGAATGAAATACGGATTACAGTGGTTGGCCGGGACCGGATAATGGTGGATAATGATGACCTCGGCCGGTGCCTCGGCTACCACCCACCCCCGTCCGCCCCGATCCGTTGGATCACATATTTTCCCCTTTTCTCTTCCCTCCTCCCTTTCCCCGTCACGTTCGTCCATTTATGCGCTTTATCGCGTATCGGGATTTCCATACAAAGTTGCATCCGACGCTAGAGTCGTAACGGCGGGGTCCGCGGCGTGCACTCGCTGCGTTTCTCACGCGCTTCGTTCGTCGTTGCGTCCGAGAGTGCATCGACCTGCATTCAATATTAGAAAGAAGAAAATCGAGGAATTTCTGCACAAATCATCGTGAAAATTTTTCGCGACTTTAAGTTCACTTTTTAGACTTACAATTCGGGGGACTAAATTATAGGTAATTAATTATATTTATAATTGTATACCCCCTGGGGTCTGTGACTTGCAACGGAGATTCAAGACCGAATTATATCCATAATTTTATGTGCTTATCATCCTAATACATGTCTATATCTATATGCTTTATATCTATATGTGTGCATTTTATTATATATTTCTTTAAATATATATTTTATATTATATAATCATAAATAAAAAATCTTGAATTTTGTCATCATATACATCATCTACTTAGAGTTTAATGTATAAAAAATATTTGAAGAATACACAAATATACATACGAAATTCATATTTGAGATTTATATATATTTTAATTTATATGTAATTTATTTTTATATTTGCTTCACAGAAAATGATAAATAATATGCTATCGCGAAACGTCTAAATCTCGATTTATTCAACGTATCAGATTTTAATAATGGAATGATGAAAGGATATTAACGGCGGAATCTTTTGTTGAGCAATCTTGCGATGGTTTCTAGTCAACTGAAATATCAAAGCAGCGAGAACCTTCAAGGCTATAAGTTTCGTTTCGCAAAATGACACTTATGGTCGACGCTCCGATTAATGCACCTCGAGTGTGCTTGCATGTACCAAGTATCGGCATAACGGCCTTGTTGCCGTCCGAGCAACGGCCGACGTCAATTCAACCGATGAAATAAATCAAGCATCGATCGCGAAAGCGGATCCCGAGACTCGCAAGTGGGATTAATGCACAGAGATTTCCGATATATCGAGACCGCGAGAATAAATCAGTCGCTATATGGGAGAGCGCGAGAGGGGCGCGAAAGTGCGAAGGACCGAGAATCAGCCGCCGGGTAAATCAATCTGCGCGTAAAATACATTACGTGGATATCCGTAGAAATTTGACTAGTATTATACAATCGGGGATAAGAGGTAATTTAGAGTAACTTCTTCGCTCTCGATTAGAACTTTTTAAGAGATTATAAGAGTTTAGAATTAAAAAATATAAAAAGATACACTCAAAAAAGTGGTATTGCAACTACAGCAAAAATTTTCTGGGTGCGCAAAATTAACTGAGGTACATAAATGATTAGCAAATACTGTGATATCGCATATGTTTCGCATTTAATCAATCTAAGTGACAGAGACAGAATTTATATCTGAACTGTTTGTGAAATTTAGAAAGAATGTTTTTCTGTGGCGCCTATCCATGTAAGGCCAATCATACTTGTTATAAAGTTTGACTGTGGTACACAGAAAAAATTAGCGACAAGAAACAAATGAATATATAATCCTCACATATAACATATTTGTATAATGCGCCCAATCTATCTAGCTCTTTTAAACAATTTCTCTCAATTTTTCGATGCTGCAGTTATAATTGGCAGTTATATTTCTCACAAAGATCGTTCTAGCTGTAGTATCGAAACTCATATTTATCCAATGCAGTGATTAACATTTGGCAATGGGACCTAAATTTTCTAGAAGATATTATTAGAATATTGCTGCTATAAATTCTATATGTAACAGACAATATTCTAACAGATACAAAAAATAGCGATAAATTTTTGTTG